CTTAGATAATCGATATGTTTAACAGCCTTGAAGACACCTATCTGCAGTCAAGTGTTCAGATTGCAGAAGCAGAGTGCGTACAACTAATTTAAACACCTGCATAAAATATTCACATACAAGGTGTGTCAAATAAATAGAGCAAAAAACACAGGTTATTCTTTGGACTATTCCAAGACTGTTTTATCATTCGACGATGTCCCAAACGCTTCATTTCAAAGATATAGGTGGATCAAAATTTTAACATTTTTATTAGCAAAAAATCTACACAAAATTAATAATACAGCTTTGGTTCTTTCGACGAACAGAGGGTCAACCGTGTATAGCTGTTTCATGCTTATTGGCAATCATCAGCACGGTAAACGATAGCAAAATATCCTCTATAGGAGTGGTAAGATCTACAAGATCATTGCTTAGTAGTCATATCTAGCAACTTCACTATAGTTGATCGTGAGCTTTCACCAAAAATACGCGGGGATTGTTGGGTAGGTTGAGCTGGATCTCACTTATAACCTGCTGTTTAGATTCAAACTCCACTCCTTAAGGAGACATCCAAAGCGAAGACTACTACTTTATACTACTGGAAAAATGTGAGACTTTTCTCATTCGAATAACTACTGATGCGATTTAGCAAAAAATTGTACTCGATATTTGGAATAAGGAATTCAAATATGAGGAGAAAAATGGAGCTTACAGAGTAGCCTAAGGAAGTCATTATAAGTGTTCTTTTCTGGGTTCACAACTTAACGCGTGATTTTTGCTATTAAAAAATACCGTTTTAGAAATTACTGCTCGGCATGTAACTCCAAAACAAAGTGATCATGGGACAAACTAGTTTTAAGTCATCCCTTGAATTGTTTTTTGAATATTTATATCAGAGCGCTAACTTAACTCTGTGATGGTTATGGTTACCAGGTCTGTTAGTTCCAGAATATCAAGATTATAAAGAATGTGTTGTTTGCAATTGTTATAATAGCTGCGACTTCCTCTTACCGCAGATATTGTAAAAACAATTAAATAACATAACCTTGAGGCAAACGAGGCAACCTTTGTTTTTATTACAATCATCAAACACTTTTCATTGTCGTTTTCTATTAGACATGTCGCTTAACACCGTTACTGATCAAAACTCACATCATATGATGATTAAGGAAAATATACGAGGGTGAATCCAAAAGTTAGGCCTGCTTCCTAAAACTTAGCCTGTGCTTTTCGTGTTCATAGGACTTAATTGCCAAATGTTTGAATTTCTGTTTATTGTATGACGTTTCGGCCAGTACGGTGATCTTTTTCAAGTACAATAACATAGACAAATTAAAACGCGGTTTGATTCATCCCGACAATGGAGTTCTATGCTGATTTATCGTAATGAAATATTGACACTACTATGGTTATACAGAACAGCGGCACCATGACTTCTTTTTCATTGGGCCCTGTTCCGGATCGGAAATCAATTGTTACGTGGGTCACTACGTTTAGACCTTAGACAAACTGGAAGTACGACAAGACGAAGAACGAGTCTCTCAGCCCAATAGATCACGTGAAAAGAGGCAGTGAGAGCTTCAATGTTGCTATCACCACGGCGTCTGCCCTTGGACTTTCCGATCGTTCCGTAAGGAGAATAATTCTTATGATGATCTTCATTTTCATCCTTACAAGATGACAGTCGTGTAGGAACTTTCTAAGCGTGACCTCCGTTCTCCGATGAACACGTGTGAGCATCTGCTGGAAGTCGTTCCTGAGGCCATTTTCATTTTCTGGACCCGTCATCAAACAAAACATGCGCTACTGGGTTGACAACATTCCTCCAGAATTGCATCAAATGCCTCTACATTCACCTAAAGTCACAGTGTGGTGTGCAGGTTAATCAGCTGGAATTATTGGTCACTGGTTCTTTGAGGAAAATGAAGTCGTAGTGACAGTGAATTTGGGCCGGTGTTTAAACATGTTACAGGATTTTTTTCACGGCTAGATGAGTTGGACATTTTTGGCTCCAAAAAGTCCAGAGTGCCTCATCCCAATTAGGAGCGATTTAGAGTGGCCGGCCCGCTCTCCAGATTTGGCCCCTTGCGTTTTTTTTCTATGAGGTTTTTGGAAATACTTTATTTATGTGAACTGGCCAAGGACGCTACAAGATTTGAAGGCCAACGTCCAGGAAGCAATTATAAACATAACGCCTGCTATGCTTGCAATAGAAAAAGAAATAAAAATGCATTGATTCCTAGAATGGGTTTTATTATATTCTGAAAAAAAAAGAAGTTATGCTACCGTTCCTTTATTTGTGCAAGTATTTAAATTAATAGTTTTAAAATACAACCGTTCTCAAAGATGATTGAACAAATTTTGTTAAATCAGCTAAGAAAACTCAACCAAGGATTTTTGTTAAGTTCCGAGTGCTTCTGACAATGGGATATGGACGGGAACGTGCTTTTGCGGTTAGACCGCTTCGAAGGCTAAATTAAATGTCGATAATTCAGTTAAGCGGGAAACTATAAATATATCAATAAGAGCGCCGGATTTGATTTCCAAAATTTCCGAATTAAGCGAGTATTTATATTTCAACATGAAGACGAATAGTTGCGATTAAACATGAAATAGGACATCCGGTAAATGGCCACCACGAAACCTCTGGCACAGGGTCAGTCTGTTCTTAAAATTCTGGATAACGTTTTCGCACAACTGTGGCTCTATTTCGTCGATAACGCGCCGTAGCTCTTCTTTAAGGAGTTCAACTGTTTGTGGCTTGTTCGCATACACTTTTTCCTTCACATAGCCCAGGAGGAAGAAGTCCGTTGGCGTTAGATCTTGGTTAGATCGCACGATCTTGGTGGCCAATTTTGATCGTCAAACCGAGAGATGACACGGTCTGGAAACTTGGTCCGCAGTAACACCGTTGTTTCGCGTGCTGTATGGCAGGTCGCACCGTCTTGTTGGAACAACATATCCCCCACTTCAATTCGATGCAACTGCGGCCACGAAAACTCGGTTAACATTTAGCGATACAGCACACCATTAACAGATACCGTAGTTTCAGCTGCATTTTCGAAGAAATACAGCCCAAATTCGGCCGTTCTGCTTATTGACGTACTTGTTCAGTTGAAAATGTGCCTCATCAGAGAAAATGATTTTCTTCGAGAAATCCGCATCAATTTGGTGATGCTCCAGAGCCCAACCAACGAATTCACGGCGCTGCGCATGGTCCGTTGGCTTGAGTTCTTGCGTCAGTTACACCTTGTACGCATGCAAGCACAGATTTTTTGTCAAAATTCGTTGCAGAATGGGTCTGGTAAGGTTCAATTCTTGGCCACGATGCCGAATGTGCATGGATTCTCGGCCACACTTTCCCGCACTGGGACTATTTTTTCGAGCGACCGACCAGGACGGCGACGACCAGTGGTCTTCACATTCAGGAACGTGAATTTTGTCTCAAATTTTGTAATCAAACGGCGAACTGTCGACTCACTCGGCACATTATTGCGACCGAAAATTGTACGTAATTTGCGAACTGTTTCCGCGTGATTTTCTCCATTTTGGTAGTGAGTTTTCACAATAATTAAATATTGCTCCTTTGAATATTGCGCCATGACGTCTTAATCGCGTGGTCTGGTCATCAAGTAAACATCATACCATTTGTACAAAAAATAGCTGCAAATTCAAATCCGGAGCTCTTGTTGAAACCACCCTTTATATAAATATATTGCCTATTAACTACCTACTGAAGACGAGCGCTACGCGTATCCTGTTGAAGAGGATGCTTTTCCTGTTGAGATGGTACCTCAACTCACTGAGGAATAAAGCTGTGTAATTTTCTCACGTTGCAGCGTGAATACAATGCAAAATTGAGGATACTTATTGTGAATCACGTTAGAGTGCAATATCATGGAAATACAAATTAGCGCTAGTTTACTCGTTAATGGCCGTATTTTCCGTTGATGTGCATTTTTATATTTTCTGCGATGTGTTATCAGCGTGATGAATCAGCTGAATACACGTAATGTATACGCCTTCTCTGTAAATAATATTTGTAGTTTTTCATTTGTTTTGAACTGTTGTAAATCAGTCAAAGACATTGAGATTACAGCTGTATTGCCTGTGTTTGTAAATCGTCATCCCTGCTTCCATTACGATGATTCCTGTGATAATAATAACTTTGTAATTCTATTAATAATGACGCATTCTTTTAACTAGAGATAACATCACCGTCTCAAAAAACTTTGTAGAGATCATATGGTTTTTATTTTTGCTTTTAGACTACTCAAGACAATAGGCGATGTGAATAAAGTTCAGTTGCCAAGCTGAATTAATAAAATTGATATGATTTAATTTTGAATGGCATTATTATTCATCTGGGTATTTTTTGTGTTGGTTATATTTCTAGGAACAGAAATGTTACTTCTCAATAGTGCATTACGGTCATTAATGTTGATTTCTCAAGTTAGTAGTTAAAAAAAATATTAATTTCCATCCTTCCGGCTGACTCTACCGGTTTCTGCTATGTTCGTCTGGTAAGCCTCGGACCCTATCCAGGTTGTCCAAGATGTCAATTTCAAGTCGGAAACAGGGGACAGACCAAGTCATAATAGTTATCAGAAAAATATAAAAAAAACTAGGTCGTGTACTGTTCAAATTATAGGCTTCATATAAAATAGGAAAATTTACCCCCGTGCTGCTTTTTTAGTTCCCATTACTACAAATTTCAGTCTTTTCTTAGTCGGAATGTCGGACAGGGTCATTCTACGTAGTGACAGCAAGACAGATAGTAACGCCGCTATCATTAGTTAATTACATAATTAATTCTTCGGCAGCTTAACATCTTAAAAATGATGGGGTTATCGGACGGGCGAATCTTCCGTTATTAACAAATTTAGCTGCTTCCGTTAGGTATTCTGTCCCGTAGCTCAGCTACATTTTCGATTAGCTTTGAATAAACTAGATAGAGTGGACACCATTTGGATGAAGATACCTGAGTCAAACTATTACATTCCATTTTTTTTTTGTTCCAGTTGGGTGCTGAGAAGGTAGTGTCTTTTGACAACGGCCTAGACGGGAGCATAGCCGAAGATTGTTTCTTCGCGATGAAGGCGTTTGCCCAAGGTTATTCCTTCAATTTCATCGAGGGCGAGATGTGGGAGAAGTCTCCTTTCACGTTATGGGACTTCATTCAACAAAGGAAACGGTGGATTCAGGGAATACTTCTTGTGGTGCATTCCAAGGCGATTCCTGTCAAGCATAAGTTGCTCTTGGGGTGTGCGTGTTATTCTTGGCTCACACTGCCACTTTCGGTAAGTGTTATTTTCAAGAAACTTGTTGTTGCGTCTCCTGATCTGTATTGTTTGCGTTTGTGTTTACGCAGTTTTCCAGAAATGTATAATTGTTGAGTTTCAAGAATATATGTATATTTCTCTAAGTACAGTCATGTAAAAATTTCACAATTCATTTTTTCCAAAAGAAATTTATTTTTTTTATTATTTCCACAACAGACTATTTTTTATAAATTCAGAAAGTTTTTGTAAATATGTATGTAGCTTTTGTGTTTTTATATCCTCATGGGCTATGACTTGCTATTTATGAATTTATACTTTGCTACCACGTACGTTTTCCTCTCACGCCGCTGTATTGGAAAAATGGTGACATTGAATAATAACAATAATCATCTTTATTGAAATTGTACAATTCCATACAGTAAAACAAGAGTTGCAAATGGTGGCGAAGCTTAGCTACACCGCTACTCTAAAGCCGGTCACAGACACTACCAGCTTCGGCGAATAACGAAGCTGCGTACTTCGGCGAAGCACATATTTCAAGTTCGCGTTGACTTCCCATACCACTTCGTATTTCGGGATATAACAAACGTTCTGCAAAGCCTCGATTGTAGTTTCAAAATGGACATAGGCGCGGACGAGAAGGTCGTTGTTCCTGCAGCTTTCATAATTATGTATGTGCTTAATTAAGAGCTTAAATGTCGAAAAAGAAGATGTGGACAATTTTTAAATAAAAGTTGTTAAAGGCACGTTGGCATGTTTGTTCTATTTGTTGGCTACCTTCTTAAATAAAATATTGCTTTTAGTAACTATTTTCAAAGCCTACTTTTTAGTTTTACTTCCCGCGCCAATTAGCGCAGATGAACCTAGCACAATTATTTTGCACAATTTGAATCCGATTTCTAGTAATAACGGATCATAAAAAATATCGTAGATCAAAATGGGCATAACCAAAGATGAGCACAATTTTTCCCTTAGTTTATAACTAGAAATTGCTTTATCGGCATAAAGTGATCTCAGTCTCAAGTATAGGCTTTCTTCAGAAGGTTTTTGGCATGACTGGTGAATCTAAGTTTGAAATGGATTATTACGCCAGGAATTTTAACCTCATCAACCGAGTACAATCCAATTTTAACAGCTAGTTGACTTTTAATTTCTTATCTTTTACGATCTGAACAAAAAAATAACAGGCTGGATTTACATACCAGGATTTATTGACAGGTTGTGGTTATTCGAGAATTCATACACTTTTTGAAAATCATGGTTTATTGATGTCTGCACCATTTCTATATCATCAGTATCAAAATAGGGGAAACTCACATTTTTTTGGCAGTAGGTATCCTTTTTTACTCATTTTACATTGAAAAAAGTTACACGATAAATTGCAATGAATAAAATTTGGTATAATTTTTGGTTTCAGTATTTTTTACTTCCTACGCCACTGGCTAAAAAAATCTTAAATTGAGATATTAATCAAATTCAAGCGGATAACCAAATGGAAATGGTATTTACCATTTTGGGTTGGTATTTACCAATCCGTTCAAGCGAGTGTAGTTATCAGTTTGGTTATAAGATCCGTGACGTCACGAATCAGCTGTTATATGTCATAGTTATCACCGCAAAATTGTGGTATTTACCCAACTCAAGAGTAGTTTTATATTTCTGGTTATTATTTGAAATGTGACAACTTAGAATTTTGCCGGGTATTGGATATTGTTATTGTACTTCAGCTTTATTTTTGAGAAAAATGATACAGGCTGACTTTACGGTTGTTGGGGACACTTTAAATGTAGTTCCTGTGTAGCCATATACCACAAGAATATTAAAATAGGGCCATATAAACTCACTAGATGATATCCACCTGTATACGGTTTTGCTAATTTCTTTTTTCATCATTTCTGCTGAATCAATAAATGTTTTCTTTGACATGCGGAAAAATTTAGAGAATTGAAAGTTATCATAGCTACAAAGCCATGGTTCCATCATTAAAAAAAAATCTGAAAAAAACATTTTTCCCATGAATATTATGAAAGGATTTAAACTTTCCATATACAGTTGTAGACGAAAAAGCACCGATTATTAAGTGATAATAAAAAGAATCAGAGATTATATACGCGCTTTTCTAAAATAAACAACTTGCAACAAAACCGCGGTTAAAACCAACGCGTTCAAGCGATTCGTGTAACTGACGTCATCAACCCGTGTGTCATCTTGAACCATATTATAACCGCGGCACATAACACAGAAATTTTGGTTATTCGCTTGGATTTGATTAATATGTTTTTAGATGTTATTTGACATACACATCACAAAAAACCATGTCGTTGTCACTCTTTTCCGTCGTTGCCAGATGGACAGTACTACCGGTAGGGCAAGGATGCCTACTGACTAATTGTAGGGACCTGTTTGAGTGACCTGGCCTATTTCCCTGTCATAGCTTTTTTCTCAGAAGGTCACACAATCTAACTTGTGCGGAACTTAATCATTTATGAACTGATGTTAGCATTGCGTGGGAGGTGCAAGGTCAACCTACTTGACACCATTTTTTTGTAGAGTGAATAGTTTCAACGTACGAACAAGTTATTTTAACACGAACATACGGGAAGTCATTAATTGGTTTAATGGTTTGTCAAAAAAAATCTCTACTTCCAGGGATTTCGTCGTGCACTTTCCAAAATTTTGCTTTGCTACCTCGTATTTTTCCGCTCATGCCGCCATATTGAAAAAATTAAAATATTCCGCAGTTTTTTGACAATAGCTTCATTCATGTTCTACAATGAACTGTCCCAGAACCGTTCAACTTGCAATAGCCAACGACCACTAACATTGAAATCACGTGAACCTATGGCGCATGATCAGAACAATTTTGGGACAGTTCTCTTTAGAGCCCGGAAAGCAAAATTGATGTCTGAAAAAAGCATGTCGAAATCTGTGACTCTTTATAGTTTTCTAGTAAGGTCCTGTTCGTACAGCAGTCGCCAACTTGTCAGTGACTGTGTCTAAGATCCCGCCAAAAAAATTCTGTATTAACTCTGCTACGCTATACAGTGGCAACCAAATTTGTCTGATGGCTTGAGTTCAACGTGTACGAGAGAGATGCGCGAGAAGTGTGTATCAACACATGTTAGAATGAGATAGAAGTCGGCTTAAGAGCGAATGTCATCACCACATTGCTGAGTGAAGGTGACGCAGGTCGTGTAATCTGCCGAGTTGCTAACATGTTACACCACAAAATGTTTGCACAATTGGTTAGCTTACTGTCAAACCTTCGAATATTTAATTTATTATTTTGTTTTCGTATAGATTACAATTATTTATTTAGCAATTTTGATGCGACTTAGTGTTTTAATTTATTTTAGAATTATCTTTGATTTCCTCCAATGGTGATAAAATCAACACATGAGATGTTACCTTTTGCGACAGCTATCGGTACTGACCAAAATTGTTCATCTATAATCATGTAGGTGGAGACCTTGCCTTGAAATGTACGAGATGCGCTATTGCCAAGCACACCAGCTGCAGAATTTGTGGCGATCCTGACGACCCTTTCATTTCGACCTAAAATGGAGACAGATTCGACACATTTCACAATTCAAAAATGTGTTTGCTCAAAATAAAACCATTATTTGGGCGTAGAGGCTAAACTAACGCATATTTTCAACATGAATCTTAATTCAAGGAACTGGTGTAACATATTGGCAACGCGGCACGTTGCCGCGTCAACGTTGCTCGACAACACGGTGATGAGGTTCGCTATCCAGCCAGTTTCTATACGCACTTCTCTATCGTACACATTAAACTCAAGCTGTCAGACAAATTTGGTTTTCAGTGTATAGACGGAATTCACACGGCCGGATCCCAGACACTGTACGAACACAACTTAAGACGTGGTAATACTATCAAATGGCATTTTGTTTTTTCTCACAGGTTTCCAACTTCTACTTAGCCTCCAAGTTTCCCATACCGTGTCCTCCACTGATAGACTTCCTGTGCGCCTTCATAGGAGCAGTAAACATCTACATGTTCGTGTTTGGTGTCATCAAATCATTCACAGTCTACAGGTTTGGACTGGCGAGGTTTCTACTATGCGTTGTAGGAGCTGTGCTAGTGATACCTTTCAACTTGATTGTTGAGAATATAGCTGTGATATGGGGCATCTTCGGAAAGAAGCACAAATTCTACGTGGTGAACAAAAATACGGGCCCTGCTATAAGCGTATAAGAGGTATGAATCAGGTAAGATTTCTTCATTTTCTTATGATTGCAGAATTTACTTATTTCCGAAAAAAAATACTAAAGGCGGGAAGACCCGTTTTTGCTGCAAAATGTGGATTATCAGACGACTGCTGAGTGGGACTCCGGAAGCAGGAAGGTATCTGAAGGGAGTGGGCAGATCTGATACACGGATGGCTCGGATTCTTTGGACCTAGACCTAGGCTATTTTTGCTTCTCAGCGGATCCACCACTACTTTCCAGGCGGAAATCTATGTGATTCTGGCTTGCGTATCCCGGATGTTGGAGGGGAAGGGCATAGGAGAAGGATAAGAATCGTTTCCGACAGCCAGGCTGCGATTAAGGCACTAAGTACCTGCAAGATTACTTCGAACCTTGTATTACAATGCAGGAAGCTACTGGATAGTCTAGCAGGGAGGCATCCGTTATCGTTGGTGTGGGTACCGGGCACGCTGGGATAAAGGGCATTATCTGGCGGACGCTCTTGAGAAAATTATCTGCGCTTCCAAAATGATTTTTAATGTGCCGTATTTTAAAACAAATGTTGAGTAAGACATAACTCATGGTTTGTTATATCAAAATGAAAAGGCTAGTTGAACCATGTAATATATGAGAAAACGTATAAAAAATTGAAAACCTTGTTTTTTTATTCTACTTATCGCGTCTATTAATCTGTTTTTTTGTTCATGTTGTTGTATCAGACCATTTTCGTAGTGCAGAGTTGATCGAACCATTTTTATCTTAAGTATCACTATCTTATCTAGGGTACTTCTATCTACTAGATTACCTTTTTAACTATCAAGTTATCTAATAGATTGTACGGCGGATCATATAAATCACTTTTGCACAGGATACACCACTTTGGGTAACTTATTATGCCAGGGGCGGGAGTACCTCCTTCGTTCCACATATCATGCAAAAATAGAATCTCAGAGTGTTTTTTAATTCTCGAAACGCCTCAACATTATTCATGTCCTTTCTCAAGATAACAGTATGTTCTAATACCGCGCTTCATATCCAAGCACCAAGTGTTTATTTATGTATTAGTTTTGTAAATATTTGAAAATTCTCTCGAACTAGTTGGTTTCTGCTTATTAATTACCGCAGTGATAAATATACTTTTATCCAACAGATACACTCATCTATTAGCAATTCGGAAAATAAATATAGTATTCTCGGAAGTAATTTGGAATCTGAAATTGGATGCAATTAACAAGATAAATATACACCTATGCCAAAAGGTTATGCCAGCAAAACTGTTAATGATATTTATACGTGATTTATAAAACACGATCCAAATGTATTTAAAAATCACTGCTACGTGGATACATTAGAGCAGATACCAACTACCAACTATAACAAAACATAATAAGCCGCAGGAAACAAAAAAAGCATGCAAATATTGTAAGCCGAAAAATCCCAGAATAATTCGAGTAATTGGAAATACCAATACCACAAAATAAAAAACTATCATGTGCTCGGGGTCCTACTATGTTTTTCCCATGTACATTTTCACGTTGAACACGAATCTGAAGTAAAAATTGGGAGTTGGTGAACAAAATAAGAAAGTATTCAGGCATTTTGCCATTTTTGTTGGGTGTGCATTTCTTCAGAGGTTTCTAGAGATGCACATCAAAAATACCACATTTTAATTGTGATGTCTAAATTACTTTCATATTTGTGAAAGTGTTAGTGTTCCGAGGGAAACATACATGGAGAAGATATAGTGAGTCTCCATGACATCACTTTTTTATTTTGTGTGCCAGTGTAGTAAATAGATGTATTCAACAGTAGGGTGCACTAGTCCATTATCCTTAATATTCACTACCTCATCATATGCGGACGTGCCGAAAACATAATATCATAGCAACATAGGCTCTACTGCTGAAGGAGTAAAGTAAAATTCGGGTATCTAATTTTGACGCTGGTGACAATTGGAGCAATTTCCTGTTCTATCAGACCAATCCACAGCTTTGCTGATTACAACACTCTACATGCAGAAATTCAGAGTCACACGCCGTTCTCTGCTGGTGAGCCGGTGAAGAGAAGGTTAGCAGTGACTTCCTCTCTGACTTGGATGTTATCACTGCTTGCGACGCAACAGTCTTGTACAGTTTGGTGCTCCCAAAACACAGTATTGTACCTTGAAGAGCAAAAATATATGATATGATTTGCTAGAATGGCGAGGTGAACTGCTCCACTATGATCGCACTCTTAAGATTAAACAAAATGTATTGCAAAGCTTAAAAATAACGGAATGAATACGAACCACCAGATCTCTGTATTTGAGGCATTGCTTAGAATGAGGTATTATCATTGAAACATTGCTTGAAGTTTTAAAACAGATCTAATCACTACTTACTTCTTTACAGTGATCTCAACACTATGCACCGTAGAGCATACACATCCGAAGATTAGAAAAACTGCGTAGGAAGAGTAAGGCTATGTGGTAGGTGACATTAAAAAGCATCATTTTATAAAATTTTAATACAATAATTTTCGTATGTCTGAATCAAACGCTGATGGTTAGATTCTGGTAAGACTAGTCAGTGACAAACACAAATGTAATCACATGTCTGTATCTTGATATTATCTATATATATCAAATTTGTTTCTTTTATGTATAATTGAAACTTTACCGAACTCGCGTGTTAATGCAAATTTTGCCACATTATATTCAATATTTGTAGTTTCAGAGTGGTGTTGAATGATTGACATTTAATTATGCTCGTATATAAGTTAAAAGACCAAAATGATGGGAACAACTATTCCCTCGACTATTTATTTAATGAAATACAGTTAAACGCCTCAAAGCTAGATTGACGATTCATTTTGTTCCTGCTAATCTAACTGTACATTACAAATCTTTTTGGTCCATGGTATAATTCTAACTTGACATTTTCATTATACATATGTGGTCCATGTAAAACAACCTATTGATCTTCAAATCTGCTTGATGACCCACTACTAACTGATTTTCACAGAACTAAAGATTGCCTGTCAGTCCTGTAACCTCATTGAGAACACCAAAATGATTAACCCGTTTTCTTTAATTTGTGGTATTTCGTCACGTAAGCGTATTACTTTCTGTTATACGAGGATGGTCCGATAAGTACTTAGCCTACAAAAGAATAACGAAAGTTTTGGTAAAGTTTATTTCCCAACAGCTCGATACACTTGACCCAGCGATGCTCCAACATTTTAACCCATCTGAAAAATACGTTTTCTGGAGATCTGCAAAGTAGGCACCGCCCTCGTAGTAATTCCCTTTTGCTCTCTGTAAGTTATTTTTTTCGTTTTGGCTGTTAATAGTGAGGTGACCATCAGCACCAAAGTGCTGCTGTAAGTCTCCACTATGACTATTGTAAATTAAAAAGGCATGGAAATATCGTTTTATATACTCGAAAATTGATATCGTTAAGGGATGTTCCTATATTCGAACTAGATGTCAAGTTATTGCAGAATAATTGTGAAATATTGCATAAGTTTGTCAAATGCCTTACGATTATCAATCCCGCTTTGAGGCATTGCTTCTTAGAGACTTTAGTTCGTACCATAATTATTTTTAATTTCGCAAATAAATATTTTTATATATTTTTACTATATACAATAAGATGTAACGAGAATATTGATGCGAAAATAGACCAAAGACCAAGAACGGATGTTATTCCTTTCAACAAACGACTGATACATCAAAATCGTTTCAAAGTATTGCATTCCATCTATGTTTTTCTTATACAAATATTTGAGATTTGTATTAGTTTTTAGCTTTACATAGGCGTGTTAGTATGGGTGTATCCAAGAAGGTGGAAGCGACGACTTATTTGACTTCATTTCAGGCAATTTTTCTGACTAGATTCATTTTTATATATTATGATTCATGATTAACGATACTATTCAAAATACGTTTATCTAGCAAAATGATTAATCAACCTTCATGGAAAGGTACGTATTTTTTCTCGGAACATTTTTTATATGGTTTGCTGATACGTAGATACGCCCATAATCATGAGTAGATTATATTAAAAATGCGTTCATGACGTAGAATAAAGTTTCCCCGCTGTTTTAGAGCACACCTTCAAGTGCTTATGATTATTATGTAATCAGAATTTAAATCAAAAGTACAAGGTACATAATACATTCATTTGAAAACATCCCACCACGGATTTATCGAAAACCGCTGATTAAAAGAAAAAACGTCGAGACACGTCAAAAGATTTGTCAAGGGGGACAACTTTTCAACTAAAAACTACTTCACCCCATTTCACCGTCTGCCCCACAGGGTCATCCCCTTAAAAATTTCAAATGACAAGGGGTATCGAGTAATAGCTTGTTTGAAAGGTCTTTCGAAGTCCTTTATTTTGAATTTAAAATCGGTAGACTCGTCTTCAAGAAAATTAGCAAATCTTTATTTAACTTAATTTGTTCATATAGAAAACAAAAACACACGCAAATATCAATTTCTATTTCAATAAGTGTTCAAAATGTTGCTCGTTATTGGAAAAACAGTGATATAGGTGTTGTTCAAATTCCTGATGGACTTTTTTAAAAACATGTGGGATATCATGGCAGCTTTTGATGATTCGTTGACGAAGTTGTCAAATGACCCCATAGAAAAAAGTCTAATGGCGTCAAATCAGGAGATCTAGCAGGCCATTCTATAGGCATTCTTCGCCATATCCATTTATCTGGAAACTCGTCGTTTAGCCATTGCCGAACAGGAACAACATAGTGAGGAGGAGCGCCGACTTGCTGGAAGAATATTTCAGCCTCATCAAGTATAGGGTTTCCATCCTCTTCCTTGGGCACCATAAATTAGAATCATTTCCACTCTTTCGGCCAGTGTGTAAACCATTTTTGAAGTAAAATCTGAATCAATAAATTAATTTTCACTATCCCAAGATTGTCAAAAGGTAACTGACAAGTATAACAATAAATACAGTTCGCACAGGATATCTGTGTTGATGAAAAGAATGCGGGTTGTTATTTTGTTGTTCCCCGTCTAATCTTCCGAATTGCTGTTGATGTTGGTAGTTTCTGTGTTAAATTATAAACGAATTGTAGATTGGGCAAACCCTAACGGGCTACATTTCTACACTTACACTTATTAAAATAAAAAGTGATATTTTCGTGTGTTTTTGTTTTCTATCTGAACAAATTAAGATAAATAAAGATTTTTCTAATTTTTTCGAAAACGAATAGACCGATTTTAAAAAATAAACGTCAAAATAAAGTACTTCGGAAGGCCTTTCAAGCAAGTTATTACTTGATACCCCTTGTCATTTAAAATTTTTAAGGGGATGACCCTGGTGGCCGAGGGTGAAAGGGGGTGAAGTAGTTTTTGATTAAAATGATATCCCCTTTGACAAATTTTTTGACGTGTCTCGGCGTTTTTTCTTTTAATCTGTGGTTTTCAATAAATCCGTGGTGGGAACTTATCAAATGTACACCCTGTATATATAAACTGGCAAATCCTGTACAAAATGTAGAATCGTTCTTCTATTGCTGTATAAAATTGCTTTTGTTAGTTAGTCTTTGTTCACTGTTGCAATAGTAGAATAATATTTTTGTGTTGCTTTGTATAGTACTTATTTTTCGCATTCTTGTAATTGTGAGAATTTCAAAAAACAAGCGCGGATTCTGCCCATACTTATCATAGAGAAAAGTAAGCTCAAATTTTTTTAGTATAAGTGTGAATAGTTTTTAGAAAATCGTGATTTTACCGCATGTATGCCCAGCACTTATAAATAGTGGAACTAAATGTATATCCTATAATAGGAAAAATTTAGTTCTGCTAATATTGTGATGTTTTTTGTTAATGAATAATTATGTGTCATTGACGTAGCGGTCCATAATTAAAATATTGCTTATAGGGTGATTAAAAAAGTGGCGATATTTCTAGAAAAAATAAAACAATCCTATCCTGTCCTCAATCGTCAACTTCATTTTTTCATATGGATGCCATATTGGATTTTTTCATAGGTGAACAGAGTTTATAATTCTGTTTCCAAAAATGTATAATACATACACTGACATTTCCAAACCTTAGAAAACGGATGCCATCGGCCTTAAAATCTTCAGATAGTAATTTGCTTCAAAATATCTTCAGCCAAGCATTCCGTCAGTTTTTATGAACTAGGCATAGGTGAAGACACCCTATTGCCGATTTTAATGATGTAACATTATAATAATTATAATATAATTTACTGACAAGGATTGTTATAATAAAAACGGAAAAATAGTGATTTTGGAGAAATTAACTTTTTTTCACCTCTTTCCGGAAGTATATTGAATTGTGAATGCTCAACTTTGCTCCCATTTAAGCGACGCGACGTCGTATATTTAACCGTTTATGAAATTCAAACAGTGATAGTCTAATTTCTAATGCACAGTATATCGTATGTGTTCACGTGATTTTATTATATCTTTTAAGAACCCTGGGTACAGATTGAAGGCGAGTTAGGTTTGTAGGCAGGCGTACCCACAGTGGTTAAGGCACCAATCTTTAACACCCTGTACCTCAAACAGAAAGCATTTCTAGACCTTGCGCCCATTTGAACATTTGATCAGCACATCGTGAAGTATTACTATACAAATGTTCATTAAACTTGACCTGCGGTCAAATTTCATATGTTTTGTGTGGTACTTTCTGAAATAGTGGGGTAGAAAATATTTTTTTTCTTTTCTACAGGGAGCGAATTTACCAAATCTCCACGCCACTGGTGCGTGGTGTAGAATGAACGAAGCAATTTTTTTCTGTTCACTTATATCACTACATATACAAAATTGTATAACTTCATCACCACTATCTCGTTGAGGGATCAAATTAGAACCCATGTGTCTACTTCCTGCCCCAGAGATACTGCCACTGTTACCTGAATCACCCTGTATTTTGTTGGCAGTTCCAGCATAAGGGTGACAATATTTCCAAGGTCCAGGGTATAGTTACGAAAATGTTTAGAAATAATTTTCAACAATTCAGTCTTCTGTTTCCGTTTTCTTCTATGATAGGTTTGCGTGCCATAAATTGCTTCAAGAATCATGAAACATTTTTAAAAAGTATTTTTATAGATTATCCACTGAAGCAAGCAGTTACGACATATTTAGTAAATTTGAATGCCAACCTTAATGCTAAATCGATCCTGAATTGGTACGTGTAGTTTGAATTTCCCGGGTACATTTATGTTGGCAACAGTTTTCTGTCTTGTGACATTGTCGCAAAGCTTGTCATGTAATTACGCCAACGGCTGTTGTTTTTTTGTGTTTTATTTTCGTTCTTTTTGCCTCAATATTTGCATTATTTTTTCAAACCTTTGAGGTGTCCTTTTAGGCATTTTGCCAAAATGCAGAAACCTCTGGGTCGACAAGCAAAATAATTCGTCATTTCTTTGACGAAATATTTTGAGATTGAAGGAGATCATGGACTCCATTATTGCGTTTACAGTCCGTAAGAGAGGTATTAGGTAGTAAATAGAATTCATCCTAGCTCTAGCGTTTACAGAACATACGCTCCGTAACGTTGGTTGCGGTAAGGCATCGAAGACAAATTAGATTTTGTAAAACGTTCTAGGATCTAGTAGTTTTAATTAATGTGGCAACCACGTGCGTCACTGTCATTATTTGACGTTGTGACGTAACTGCTTTGGTTCAGCGAATAAACTATAAGTGGACGAGATTATGATACGACCATTTATAATTTGAGACGCTGAATGAAAAAATCGCAGTTCTGGCTTGAAAATTATACATGAGATTGATGCCCCTATGCTGGAATTCACATACTTATGATTCCAAAGATACTTATTTGTTGTGATATTATGAAAATTGTGTAGTTATGATGCTAAACGAAATACATTCGCTTCGTCCAAAGTAGTCAAAGTATAATCACACCATAAGTTTTACATATTACAATCGTATGCTTAGTTTACTCATATTTATTTATTTTTGTAATCAGCAGGTTGTTTGTTGTATTGATTGGTGTCATTATTATGGTAATTGTTTTGTGATCTAAAATTTTAGTTACTTAACCCAAGGAAACATTGTGTCATAGTTCGGTAACTGCTTATTTTCATAATATGAGACTTGATTTGCTAGTCAATTTAAGTTTAGTATAGGAAATACACACGCAATGTAAATATGTGAGAATAGAAATTAAACACCTTTTTTTAATCCGACTTTTATTTTTGGGATATTCTTCCTATGTTCATCTACGTAATGCTAATACAACATGGATACAATACTTCACATGTATTTTTGGGTCCGTTACGGATAAAGACGAAAATCTAGCAACGACGTGAAGTGACCTTAATGCCCTTCAAACAGCAACTGATGATAATGCAGTAGGATCAATGATAGTACTTTTTAAATTCAATTTTTTTGTTATTTCTTTATTATTGTTTATACGAGGGTTCTTCCAAAAATGGGGTTCCCAAATTTTTTCAAGCACAAGCAATCTTTTATTTGAAAAATCGATTTCACCATTGGAAACGTTGATCTTCGAGATATTTTTCTACGTATTTATTGTCGTGGTGAAGTCTTACGCCTTTGGTGAGTTTTCCGCTACGACGATTTTGGATTGCCTAACTTAGATTTTTCAAGGTCTCGCAATAACTAACTCGAAAACCAGTACACCACGCCGGTCCCAAAATACCGTTGCCATGATTTTTCGTGCTGACAGCATCTGCTTGGACTGCTTTGGTTTGGGCGACTCGGGGCGTTTCCATTGGCAAAATTGTTATTTTTTTTCCAGAGTGACGTAAGGGGACCACGTTTCTAAGAAGTCTTCGGTATTTTCGTCGCATTCACTCAGAGACTTCCGACTTCCGTTTGTGGATTTCTGAACGCATTTGCGCCACCCACCGTGCACACACCTTGTGGTAACCTAACTTTTCTTTCAATATCCTGAGAATTGGAGCTTCATAAGCTTCAGGAATTTCAACTTCCTCGGAGATCGACGGCATCTCACTTCGTTGTTCATCGTGGATGTCGTCAGAGAACTGCCTGCGGACATGTTGAACGCTTATACACGTTTTTCGACATATTTAAGTCAACTGGCGATGCATTTCTATGGGCGGTAACTTTTTTTCGTGTAAAAATCAGATGACCGCAGGAATTTGGCACCTGGCGGTGACGCCTGTGGCGGACTCCATTGCGCATGGCTGTCGGGCCGGTACTGATTAACTGAGCGTCTCAGATAGGTGCTTATTATTGGGATCGGTGGTTGCGGAGCCGGCAAACACGACGGTGCTGGCAGATTTCACCTAGCATCACCCACGGCAAAGGTACAGCGTTGGGACCCTTATTTATGAGACAACCCTCGTAGATAGTTACATTTAAATATCAAAAGTGGTTTTTATATAAAATTTACTGCTCCTTTCGTTGTAAACTCTGTATCGCAGTAGAAAGTTAAAAGCATAATCACCACATGTATGTTTCTTTCCGAATAACTGCGTTGCTCAACTCTTCATTTGTCATGTATTTTTTGTCTACTTCATCGATTATTTCGTTTAGTCCTAGTTTTAATTGTATACTTACCTGGGTGCTGCCCTCGAGAGTCACTAAGGAGAATGGTTTTGCCGTTGAGGCCTACTTTTCGAGCGGTTCTGTGATCGCAACCCAGCTTTAATTTAGCCCCGTTGGCCCTTGTCCCGGACAGAAAATCAATTATTGCGTGGGTCACTACGTTCAGGCAAACTGCAAGTGCGTCAAGACGAAGAACTGGAGTCCCTCGGCCCATCGGATCACCTGAAAACATTGAGGCAGTAAGAGCTTCAATGTTGCGATCACCATGGTGATCTGCCTGCAAACATGCGTTTGTTTTTTTTTTTTAGAAGAACCCCGTGTTCATCTATGTGGATTCGTCAACAAACAACATGCGCGACACGAATCCTCGAAAATTCCATAAAAGGCCTTAGCATTCACCTAAAGTCACACAGTCGCAGTGGGGTGTGCAATTTCCTTGGCTGTAATTGTTGGTCGCTGGTTAATTAAAGAAAATGAAATCGCACTGACTGTGAATTCGGACATGTTACAGGAATATATTTTCCATGGCTAGATGAGTTGAACTAGGGACATTTGGTTTCAACAAGGCGGTGCAACGACGCGCACTTCAACATCATCGATGGCTGTTTTGAGGAAGCACTTCCCAGAGCGCTTCACTTCAACTAGGGACGATTTGGAGTAGTCGGCCCATTCTCCCGATTTGGCCCCTTGTAATTTTTCTATTTGGTTTTTTGACATCCCGTGTTTCTTTGAACGGTAAAAGGACCCTACAAGATTTGAAGACCAATCCATGAAGAAATTGTCAACATAACACCTGCTATGCAGGCAAGAGTCATGACAAACCCCAGAAATCGATTTAATCAGTGTATGGAGAATGTGAAAAATAAATATATTCTGATTCATGCAATGGGTTTTAAGTTTTGAAACAGAGAAGTTTTGCTGCCGTACTCTGTGCAATACATATATAAAAAAGTCACTTAGGAACAGTGTATTCTAACTTTTTACTCTTGTGGTTTCAGTCAACAATCTGTTTGTGCAACACATTTGAACTTCTTATGCGTAAAGTACTATATTTTACGAGTATGTGAAAAGTGCAATTAATGATCGCATCAATTCTGAACAGGCATCGAGCCCGAGGCTTCGACTTTTTCTTGCCCTTTCCTCCATAGTGTTGTAACAGTTTTAACAGTAGAAGTTGACACCTTGCTTGCCGTAGAAGTGAATATCTACATGGAAACTACCTCTCGAGTCTGTAAAGCTGAACATTGGCACAGGCACAGGAATTGGGACATTTGCGCCTACGTTTCCAACGTCTACTTCATGTGTGAATTGCCTTAGAAAAAAAAGGGTCGTCTTGTGAATATCCTTAGCCAGGTATTCACAGCAATTTCCAAATAAACAAGAAAATATGAATCTTGAAAAAGCTTTAAATGTGCCAGCAATGGGAATCGAACTATTATAGGTCTTTCCACGGTTTTTGGAGGCATCAATGTCATGAAATAAATAAGCATATTGGCTAACTGTACCATGTATGGAGTTTAACCTGCACATTGACCATTGCATGCCATACCAAACAACGCAGCTGTTCTTGCACACATGAATTTGGCAATGAAGGGCCGCCGTTGCTTACATTCGTTTCCTGAAAATTTTCTAATAAATTTAGCGAAACCTGTTAAAATAATTTTCAGGCATTGCTATGTTTCGTATTACGATATACAAACGATAAACAAAATCTAAATACGAATTGCACGCCCATGACAAGTGAGTTGTCACACTGACAGTAACAAGCACAGATGGGGAAAAAAATCGAGAGGGCGAGACGAAACGCATGTCTGAGCTCATACAGACAAAAATGTTCGCGCGCAGAGGCAGATTCCATACATATGGTGTGAGGCTTGAGGCGGTGTGATTCCAGAAAAAATTGCTAAAGTTCAGCGGCTAATTGAAGAAGATTCTCGCTGCACATATGCGACTATAGAGGCAACTCTTGGAGTAGGATCCGCAATAGTGCACACCATTTTGCATGATCATCTTCATTTAAAAAAAGTTTTAGCGTGCAATCCTGCATCATGAAAATGCCTCTAGCCACACCGCCCAACTAACTGTATGCTTTTTACGCATGCGCCACATCAAACTGCTGGATCATTCGCCAGATTTGGCAATGTGTGACTTCTGGCTCTTCAACAATTTGACAAAAAATCTGAGTGGTTGAAAATTTTCATCCGAAGAGGAAATCGATCAAGCAATTAATCAGTTTGTTGGAGGCAGTGCAGTGATGCTGGAGGAGAATACTTTGAACATAAATAAACTAGTTTTCGAAAAATAGTTTTTAGTTTTCGTGTATCTCAAAATATATAGAGTGGCCCTCGTACACCTAAGTTTTATATATAAGTTTCATCACAAAATTAAGTTCTCCTCTAGAGATGAGACAGATGGACTATCGTGAGATTTTCTGCTGCCAATCTTGAATGAATGTTAAAAAATACAGTTTATCGAAAAGTAATACGTTTATTCTCCGTTAGTTGCTCAACTCCTTCATTTCCAAGAAATAACTACCCGCCGACTTCAACGATTTACTAAACAACAGTACCTCCGCGACTAAATACGTGGTAATGCGTGTATAGAGGAGCTAAACGAGATAACCATGGTCTGTGGTTTTCCTTAGGCAAAACGTGTGTTACAGAGAAACCCTTTGCACTAAATACGAATTCATATATTGATTGTATCTTCCGTCCACAGATGTTTTTGCCGCTGAGATTTTAATTTAGAACTGTCAAAAGCCTAGCTAACTTCAGTAGCGCATAAAAATCTAAGAAACCTCACAAATAATCGAGTCTTAAATCCTAAACAGTCAATGCCATCAAGAGGATCAAAGGGTGTAATCCGGTGAAATTAACTCGGCAAGTTTATTTGGGAACCACCTCAATTAGAAGTCAACGTCAGGTAGTTTTAAGGCAATTCATCCGTTTGAGAGCTATGATGTCTCAGACTCTTTTGTGGTCAGGGGTTAACAACAGCGATCATACGAAAATATATTTATTCAATAATGTGGAACATTTTCAATACAATAAATACACATTTTTCATAAACCGATTGCATGTTCATACAACAGACCGTATATTATCAGCAGTTACCATTTTACACAATAATTAAAACATTTTGATGCCAAACTTTCATCCATGCATCAGTATACATAAATAACAATATACAAACTTGTACATACGTACATATTCATACATGTGAAAATTTGTAACATTAATTGAGCAACGTAAATTATAAGCCTAGAAAATTGCTTAACAGAAATAGTTGTACGCATAAAAAAGTGCACTTAAAAATCTAAGAGATCTTCAATTCTGGACCGGCATAGATCCCGAAGCCGTGACCTTCTCTTGTCCTTGTCTCCACAGTGTTGTAACAGTTTTGGTCTGAGTGTAGAAGTTGAGGCCTTGCTTGCCATAGAAGTGAAGGTCTCCGTGGAAACTACCTCTGGAGCCTGTAAAGCTGAACATAGGCAGCGGCACCGGAATTGGAACATTCACACCGACTTGGCCAGCGTCTACTTCGTGCGTGAATTGCCTGGTAAAAAATAAGTATATGAATGGGTTGATCCGCAGGGGTATCATGTAAAAAACCTATAAAACGTCAAAAAAACCTATATGATGTCAACTAGCAGACTAGGTAGTTTTTAGGGCGCAAACAGTCATTCCACGTTTGCTCACTAGGATCGTTGTAAACGTCCATCTGTGAAGGAATCACTAAACTAGGCATTATTGGTTGTATAGTTTGGTGAGGCTGAGTGATCCGGGCCAGTAGTTTTTATCTCTGAGAAGAAAGTTGGTTGAATACCAAGATGGCATCTGGATGATTATGTGTATTGGTCTGCATGTGTATAAAATCAGTGATATTTGCTGTGTGAGAAAATCATTACTGAATATGACGGGTTATTTATATGTTGTCCTTTCTGAAGAGAGGTTATGTTCAAAGTTATAAATTACGAAAAAGTGAGGAGAATTACGGGAAATCATCACCGCACCCGCGTTGTGCGTAATTACTGTTAGCATGTATATGACTTGTAATTCGACAGTGTACAGTGAATATAAATATTTCTTATCTATCTCATTTTAGAAATTCAGCAAATTTGTATATGTAATTTCCAGAATGGATAAGCAAAAGTGGATGCGCAGTTAGTTAATTTATAGCTTTGAATCTCAATTAAGTGTATTTGAGACAAGAACCCAATGTAATTATCATCAACACATGCAACTTACAGCTTAGACCTCCAACCTCCAGTAATGCCATCTCAGAAGCAGATTTTACATCACATCAAAGCCAAATATTGATAACAAGCCTCATGACGTTTAGGCAACACGTACAACTAAATGCTAAGTTAACATCTTGTAGAATAACCTACATAATGTCAAAAAAAATCGACATAATGTCACTTTTCAAAATACGTAATACCCGTGCCGAAGAAAGTGCTTGGATTTTGGTACTTCTGTTGGTGGCTCACAAATCGTTAATATTTTATTCTGTATATTTCAATATTTCTTAAAGTTCAATAAATGGGTATTTTTTCTATAAATATGATGTTAACCACTAGATAATTAAGTAAACTACATATATACAAACGAAATAACTGTATCTGTTAGTAAGTTCTAAAGCAGTTAAACACCGGATAATTAAGATTTTACATAGAATCAATGGTTAGCTCAATAATATGGCCAGGGACTGTAGATAATACGATTGCCGGTTATCATTTAGCCCTTCGCGCTCACAAATTACATGAACGGCCGACTCTGTTCCTCTTCAACATTGTCTAGAGTTAACGTCTCCATTATACTACAACCCTATTTTGTGTTCTTTCTGTACAGTATTTTCTTTGACTATACACAGTTGATAGCATGAGCTGGTACCGTACCGCTAGATAACCCGTACCAACTAGTACAGAATTCAACACTGCCTAGACAATATTTCTAGGACAGAAAGTATATCCAAATAGAACAAGAATATAAACCTAAGATATCTTCTTATCGAGATTAAGTAATAATTTAGATACTGAAAAAATATCATATTCAGATTGGAGTGGTGCTAAAAATTGTGAACATGTAGTACTATCCTCGGGAATCAAAATGGAAGGCAGTAGCATTACACATGGTACGCTATTGATATTCTCTTCGGTACGAGACTCAGTATAAGTCATGTACACTAAAGTTTTCGCGCCTGAAGCTACATCATTGGCATGTAAATTGGAAAGTTTTAGTATATTCCGCCACAGACTTTTTGAAAAGTCCGTTATATTTTTGAATAAGAACATTCGCGTGATATTTCTCGACGCTCATGGCAACCGAATCCTCTCGATCGCTCACGCATGTGAACACGATACGATCACTTCTGACGCATCTACGATACATGTTGGTATAACTCTGGTTGCCTAATTTTACGAATGTACCTTTTCGCGTTACATTATGTAGTGAATTATGAGGGATGTGTATGAGGGTAGTCATCTCCCTACAGCATTATTTAGGTGATATTTATGTTTTTTTCTTATCCAGGCTCGTTAGTGGCGTAGGAATTTGTAACACATCGTATTTTATAATAATGGGATATTCTAGTACGTAGGTTTATAGGAACGTTTGTTATTTTTAGATGTACTTTCTGCTGTAACAATATTCTCATTGTGCCCTGTATGTGGCATTTTAGTGTCTAAAAGTTTCCCTGTATAATCACCGTTTTATACTATGTACTATTTTTTCAATTCCTTCCTTCATTTCAATTCCAGCTTGTTTGTACTTAAAATATGGAAACTTTGTGTATAGCCTTACCTTGCAGAGCTGCCACTTGTAGTGAAGATAGCGGTGCCGTTTCCATAGGGGTTCTTGTTAATAATAGCAATAGCATCTTCCAATGTGTCGGCGTTCATAACGCATAATACTGGTCCAAATATTTCTTCTTTATAACATTCGTGAGTCGGCTGAACATCAGCCAGAATTGTGGGTCCCACAAAGTTGCCGTTAGGGTATTTTTCTACTTTGATACCTCGACCATCTAGAGGACACTTCGCACCCTAAGGAAATATCGAATATTATACAAAGATGTCAAAGCTGTATAAGATAATTTCATGTGGACCCCCAGGACATCTCCCTGAGTCCGCAATTGCTATATCTACATCATACATATTTCTTCTAGTCCAGTTTTTTCTTACGCTAATTCTTTTAGATTTTTTCTATGTTACCTGTTCAATTCCAGAAGCAATAAGTCTATGAATTCTCTCTTTTGATTCTTTCGAAATGACTGGTCCCAAATCGGTACCGGGTTCATGACCAGCATTTACTTTTAAGCTCTGGGCACTCTTCACCATATCTGGTATCCATTTTTGAGCTTCTCCAACCATAATCGCCACGCTCAGAGCCATGCATCGCTGACCTATGAAACCATAAATATAACTTATGATAATTCAAATAAAGGACCATAACTACGTCCAGAAGATGGTATAAGGATCTGCTTGTAATTATACAATGATGGGAAAGAATGCATAAATGGTTTGAATTAATGAAAGAATTTAAAGTCCAATATTATCTTGTGCACTTATGAATATTATGTATAAAATTTGAGAAGTCGTTTTGAGACGGTAATGAGATACGTAATTTCATTTATAGCTTAACCTCATTGCGGATCATTGGTCAGGTTTTGCATAGGCGGAAATCCGTTAACATTTTCTTCGTGTAAAAGTGAAACTCATGAAAATTCGAAGGAGGCATTTTGTCTCGGGGGGTTTTGTATTTATCACCATATCACCAATAGAATTGATATCCCTTAACACAAGTTGTCATTTCTTGTGGGCTGCGATCTCTGACTCCCTTAGTACTCACCAGCAGCTCCAAATGCAGCTCCTAGCACCTGATTGATGGCAGTTTCCTTATTGGCATCGGGCATAACAATGCAGTGATTCTTCGCCCCCATGTTGCTCTGAACCCTTTTGCCGTGTTTGGCGCCCCTTTCGTAGATGTATTTACCAGCTTGGTCTGAGCCCACAAAGCTTATTGCTCTGATGGATGGATGGTCACAGATGAAGTTTACTGCATCGTGCGCACCATGAATCACCTAAATAAAAAAAATCATTCTTCTAGGTATGCTGAAGTCAATATTATCCCTTGTTGTTGTTCTTCGCAATGTGACTACATGACATCTTTTTGACTCGCCCTCTAAGGATGATCTGATATTATTACGTCGCGCAAACTGAATCAGTTCTGTTCTTCTATTAATCATTGTCTGTCAGTGTGGTCCTTAGGACCTTTGTTCTTGATTAAAGTATTGTACGTCAGTATGTCTATCAGGTCTGGTTGCCGAGATACCAGACAAAGTCAGGGAGAAAGAAGGGAAGAAGAAAGAAAGGGGGAATGGAGAGCAAAGAGGAAAAAGTGCGTCAATTTAAGAGGTGCGTTGGTACTGTTAACCAGTATTCTGGAATTTCAAATTTATCCTAAAATTAGAGCTTAGGTGAGAGAAGAATTGTAATTTTGCTTGGACCTAAAGTCGTACGTTTTAATTTTGTTCACAATGCGAGCCGCGGTCTGGTGTGCTTGCGTACTTGTTCGACTGTGTAGTCGACTGTCTCGTCGAAAAAAGTGTGGCTATGCTATGCAAAAATTGTGCGAATGCATGCAAATTATAGAACAAATCTTGATATACGTTTTTTCTGCACTAAAGACAATTATTGCAAAACGCTGGGTCGGGAAGTTCTTAAAGAAATGGAATTTCCAAAATTCACTCGACAAAAATATTCAAAATGTGCCCAAAAATTACTTGTACTGTTTCTCAACGAGGGTTATTTTGGGTCTATTACAGTCTAGTATTGTTTAGAACAAAACTTCCAAATATGTGATTAGTGGAACTTTGCCATCTGATTTTCTGGTGGTCTGCATTGTCCACTTTTGGAATTTTGGTAAGAATATGGAAAAAATATATGACAACATAATAGAAAATATAAAAACTTGTTTAGATCTTGCAACTGATAAAAAAGTGATTTGCTTGACAAAAAATGCACCCTGGTATAACAAGAATATTAAGGCAGCTCAAAATTTGAGAGACAAACAATACAATAAATGTATATTCACAAAATCAAATGATGATTGGGAGGTATATAAAACTCTTAGGAATAAATGTGTATATGTAATTAGAGAAGAAAAAAGAAAATTCTACGATAAACAAATCGATAATAACAAGTGCGACAGTGTAAAGATGTGGAAGACTTTAAAAAGACTGATCAATTCGAAGACGCATGATTGTGTAAATCAAGTTCAATTCGAAAACGGTACCGAAACAAATTCTTTGGTGATTGCAAACAAACTAAATGAATATTTTGTGGAAAGTATTGTTGATATTGTAGGTACTGCCAATGCTGCACCTGACTATATCTGACTAAATCAGTTTCCAGGGGGAAATGTTGCATACACTTTCAAAATTTCACAGCGTATCATTGAATTATCTAAGAAAAAAAGTAAACAGTTTAAAATCAAATAACAACTGTGCCGAAATGACTACTAAAAACGTGCTGAAAAACTGTTTCGAAATTTTGGGATATCCTGTATTAAATTGGATCAATTGTTCACTGAGAAGCAGTTCTTTCCCTGAAAATTTGAAATGCTCTACAATAACACCAGTTCCCAAAATAAAAAATTCTAAAAGATGCAGCGATATGAGACCAGTAAATGTGTTACCAGACATTGAAAAATTATTAGAGTCCATAGTGCATGACCAATTAATGCAGTTTATAGAAGAACACAAAATTTTAGTGGAGGCGCAAGCAGGCTTTCGAAAAAAATATTCCACAGAAACAGCTTTCCAGTTGGTAACTGAGAATTGGAGAAGAGCCATAGACTCAGAAAAAGTTGCCATAGCAGTATTTTTGGATTTGAAGAGGGCATTTGAAACGCTTGATAGAGATATTTTGTTAGGTAAATTGAAGGCATATGGTATAACAGGAAGTGTTTTAGATTGGTTTAGTTACAAAAGTTAATGACACTATTTCATCAAAAATTGAAAATACGTTGGGTGTTCCACAGGGCAGTATCCTGGGACCACTTCTTTTTATTTTATACATAAATGATTTACCTGCCATAGTCAAAAAATGAAAAATTCTAATTTTCGCCGATGACACTATGATTTATATAAGTACTAAAAATATTCAGTCTGGTATATCTTATATAAATGAAGACTTGAAGCTTGTCTCAAAATGGTTAGCATCTAACAGACTAAAATTAAATGCAAGTAAAACGAAAGCCTTGTTAATCGGAAAAAAACAATGTACAAATGTTCAACTGAATATTGATGGTGAAGATATTGAATTCGTAGAAAATTTTAAATACCTGGGAGTTTTTGTTGACTCTCGATTAATTTTTGATTTTCATTATGAAAAAGTTATAAATAAGATTAGTAGTAAAGTGGGATATTTATCGAGAGTTTCTGGATGTCTGAGTTCATATAGCAGAAAAATTATCTATAATACCATCATTCTTCCAAATTTCTTGTACTGTTCGACTATTCTATATTTAGCAAATAATTCCATTTTTGAAAGACTGCAAATTTTACAAAATAAGTGCATGAGAATAATACTAAATAAAGATAAATATACTCCAATTAGGCAAATGCTTAGCAAATTAAAATGGCTCAATGTAAAAAATTTTATCAAATATCTTGTAATGATATTCATTTATAAAGTAAAAAATAATATATTTCCATCAAGTCTAACTAATTTAACATCATCAAATGTCGACCATCATTTACATAATACCAGAAATAAAGATGACTTCCATTTAATGACCAAAAAGTATAACATATGCTACAAATCTGTATTCCATCAAGGGTTGATTGAATATAATAAATTATACTCGGAGATAAAAGACCAGAAAACTTTGACAAAATTTAAAGTAAAATTGAGAAATCACTTGTTAAATCTACAATTATAGGTTGCCCAGCATTTACATCATAAACCATATGGCTTGAATTTACTAGTTCTAAGTTGTTTACAATTGTTCTGTTTATGTAGCCAAATGTGCTAAATAAATCTTTCTACTACTACTACTACTACTACTTTTATATACGAGGTCTGTAAATTGATGAGACTGGCAACGTAGCGTTCGATCTGGCAATATTGGAAGTGCCGGGCTTGGAGGGGTGACATGGCAACATGTGATCCGCCTTCAGTACAAGTTGGAACCCGTTCGAGTCATTTGGTTGTCCGTACCGATTTTTTTTGTGGAACAGTCTTTTCTATTGTGTTCTAAAAATGAGTGACATCAATTTCAAGCAACGTGTCCTATCAGTTTTGCTTCAGACTTAGGCACAGTGCAACGGAAATTTTTGCTGAGTAGGTCTATGGAGATGACAAGAGCCCCAGCTTTGCGCTGGTTTAAGGCATTTTCAGGAGGGCGAGAGTCGATTGAAGATGAATCACGAAGCGGAAGGCCTTCATCCCCAAGAACCGATGAAAATATCGGTAGAAGCCGGGTGCGTTCAAATCGTCGATTGACAGTCACAAAGATCAGGGAAGAGTTAAATTTGACTCATACCATTTGGGACAGTCGAAAACATTCAAATGGCTGTAACCGACCAGCTGAAGGCTATTCCAGTATCGGAGTCCCAGTACTGCTATGAGGAGTGGAAGAACCGACTCCAGCGCTGTGTGGCTTCAGAAGGGAGTCATTTTAAGGGTGACTATACAAAATTGTAATTATATTTGAATAAACAAATTAAAAAAATCACTTAATTTACAGTACTCGTATTTGAGTGCACTTACATTAACCACACCTGGTGGACAACCAACTTCATTCAGCAGCTCCATCAGCATAATGGTAGCACCGGGGTCTTTCTCACTAGGCTTGATCAACATTGTATTTCCCGCAACGAGACTCATTGGGAACATCCAAAGAGGGATCATGGCAGGGAAGTTGAATGGGCAGATACCAGCGGTCACTCCAAGTGGCAGTTTGTAAGATACTACGTCCATGTCTCGACTGATATTCTGTAAAGACTCGCCTTGGAGGAGTGTTCCCGCGGAGCAAGCGTGTTCCACCACCTCTGAAGAAATAAAAAGAAAAAATGTTGGTACAGTATTTTGATCAACCAAATAAGTAGACGGTTTCAGTATACTTAAAATAGGGATTTGCTAGTATTATATCACAGCAAAAACCAGCAATACAACAACAACAAACCTCAAGCACAGCAATGGACTGGACTTCCTTTGAAACAAGAAAGTAGGTATCTGTACATGTTTTTATAATATCTAGAGCAATTAAAATATCGATCTGCTTGCACGACGCTGTGGTTAGAATTATCACAATAATTTTTCGCGTTCGTATAACATGTCCCTAATACAGATAATTTTTCAGGAATAAAAAGAGCCTTATTCCTAGGGTATCGTAATAGAAACATTTAGGTAGCTTAAACTATTTTTCATGCTTGCTTTGGAACTGTACTTACGGAGTCCCCTGACTACATCTCCTTCAGCATCAGCTAAGGTCTTTCCTTGTTCCTTAGTGATGTTTTGTGCTATTTTCTTCATATCGCGCCTTATTACTGCCTGAAGTTTCAACATTAATTGTTGTCTGGTCAATACTGATGTTTGGCTCCATGTTTCGTAAGCCTGAAAGAATTTTTCGAAATTCATGTTTTGGGAAATACTTCACATTAGCTGCAGATATTCATATAGGGTATTTCAAATTAGACCCTCGTCATTGGGACCTCTAAGCATCAACCATCAATATCAATTTTTCAAAAAATTTTGATATCTAAGAATTGACAGAGCAGTTGTATAAGGTTTGATCGTACAGTGGTTGGTAACTTGGTGACTGCGTCTGGGATCCGCAAAAGTGAATTCCGTCTAAATAGCGTAACAGAGTCACTGACAGATAAGCGTCTGCTGTTCGAATATTACTAATATACACTAAACTTTTACCTAAACCTAATAAACAAATTCAATATATATAATTAAATTGTCTTACTTAGAACAGCTAAACTCATTTTATTAGTTTAATAATTTTAAATAAAGTGTTGTACTCAATCTAAGTAAACGGATTGATCAGTTTAATTAAACGATTGCGTTCTGGTTTAATTAAACTAGTTTCATAGATTCGAGTAAACTATTTTAGAAATCGTAGATTACTTAGACTAATTAAACTTGTTAGCTGTCACATAGTTGATTTTTAATTGACCTAATTGAAACTTTTAATTGGTTTGATTAAACTTTGTCTCAGTGTAGGTAATAGTTTTAGCTTAGGTTTCCTATGATTACCTTTTTGTTGGATTCAACGGCATCTTCCATCTCCTTCTGTGTGGATTTGGGCACCTTGGTGACTAGTTCATTCGTTGCTGGATCATACAAGTCGATCCATTCTGTTGTTTTTGAGTCTACGAATTGTCCATCTATGAAAAGTTTGATGCATGGTGCTACGTTGGAGTACGACCGCTTTGCTATGGACAATACTGGAGATACCTGCAAAAATTATACGTACTTGGCTTAAACAGAATGGTCCCGGAGGTAATGTAGCTTATGGTATTTATTTTCCTTCTTTTACTACACTTTATTCGACAATATTATGATCTCAGAAACTATAAATGAGGCACCTCACAAACAAGTAATATTTAAGGTAAAAATATTTTGGCTCTAAAGATACTTATTTCCTAAAAACTTCTTAACTTCGACAAGTTGATCCTAAAAATGCAGTAGCCAGAATCCATTCCAATTTCTGATGCGAGTATTCGGAAGAGGTTCCAGGTACAAATTGAAAAAATATATACAGTGGACCCCCGATAATCCGGCGCCTGTCTAATCCGACGCCCCCTGTACTACGACATGTCTTTGAATATTACATACATACGTATTTGACAATCTTCGCTAATGTAGATCATGCATGTTTGAACAGGTTACAACTTGTACGCGCCACCGCTATCGTGCTCGACGCGTAAGCATTATTTTACTTAGTTTGAATTTGACTACTGGTGATAGCGGTACGGCCTAGCGTGCGTTCATTGTTTACTATTTATGCATTATGTATTAAGTATAGTACCTAGTAATGCCATCACAAACTCAGAAGCGAAAGCACAAAACATTGACAATTAAAGAAAAATGTGATATTTTAGACCGCTTAAATTGCAATGAAACTTTCAGTAGTTTTGCAAGAGAATTCGGCGTAGGCCGATCTACAATTTATGACATTAAAAGAAACTACGAGATCAACTACTGACTGCGGGCCAGGCAAGAGACAGACGAAAGCTGAACATCCAGAAGTGGAAGAAGCTTTGTACATGTGGTTTCTTCAGGAAAGAAATAGGCGTGCACCAATTTCAGGACCCATGAAAGCTAAGTTCTTTTATAAGGAAATAACAAAAAAAGATGATTTTGTGGCCAGCAAAGGATGGCTAGAACGTTTTAAAAGTCGGCATGGCATACGTTTAACGACTATTACAGGAGAGAAACTTTCCAACGATGCCACCTGCATAGAGCCCTTTAAATTAAGATTTTTGCAAAACGTGAACGATTTAAATCTTGACCCGTCACAAGTGTACAATGCAGACGAATCAGGGTTTTTTTGGCTTGTGTTGCCTAATAAAACTTTCGTTTCTTGTAACGAAAAATCCGTACCTGGACGAAAAGTAAGTAAAGAGCGTATAACTATACTACCATGTGGTAACGCTGCGGGCACACACGCGCTTAAGATGATGGTCATTGGGAAATCTAATAAACCACGGGCATTCAAAAACATTGATTTACCTGTACACTATTACGGACAAAAAAGTGCATGGATGACAAAAGACCTTTTCAAAAAGTGGTTTGATGAATGTTTCGTACCTGAAGTTAGAAAATGGTTAAAAAATCATAATTTTCTTCAAAAAGCGTTGTTGCTTCTTGATAACGCTCCCGGTCATCCGTCTGAAGAAGAACTAACAACTGAGGATAAATTCATCACTGCGATGTTTCTTCCGCCAAATTGCACTGCACTGATTCAACCAATGGACCAGAATATCATCCAGTTTGTAAGCAAGACTATAAGAGAAACCTACTACTATCAAAAGACTAATCAATAGAAAAAACTTTAAAAGAATTTAATATGAAAGACTTGGTTTTTGCTCTTTGTCAGTCGTGGAATGCGTTACCGTCATCAACTATTAAATTGTCTTGGAAAAAGTTATGGCCAGATATAGTCACCACTCCTACCAACGTTCCACAAATCAGTGTAACTTCGGAAGTTATAGAACAAGTCGCTACTGAAACACAGATAAGTCCGGAAAATTTGGAAATCTAGTGTCGTGGAATGGATAAAGAGGAAAATGTTTTTCATGAAATGTCTGACGAACAGATTATAAACGAGGTTTCTAATTATACAACAAACAATCAGGAAAATAGCGACGACGTGATTGCAACTGCTCCACAAGTCACAGCACAAGACGCAATTAACGCCTTTGAGCTAGGTTTACAATGGGCTACATCCTACAACGAACTTTTACTTTTGAGAAGACTGAGGGACAAAGCTCTGATCTCGCGTTATAACAACCTTAAACAAAAAAAAATGAAGAATATTTCCAAGCTTCATAATTTGATAAATTCATTAATGATTTTGATTAATAATTCTTGATTATTTTGGTACATATGTATGTGCATTTATGCTTAATTTTATAATAAAACGTAAGCTCTCTCTCAACATACATAAACTATGTATGATTTGTACTTCAAAGTACATACATATATAATCTTACCATTGCATATGTAATTTGTCGGATTACAAGGTACTCTTTTGTAAAAAATTCCGGACTATAGGGGGTTCTTAGGGAGTGCTCTATAATCCGACAAATTCGATAGTCGGACACTGCCCTGCATAATGTTTGTCGGATTACCGGAGGTCTACTGTATTTGATAAGTGTTTTATTCAGTTGCTTTAATCGTTCAGCCTAATCCCTTTTTTGAAGTATATCTTGCCATCTTAAGTTCTTTGAAAGAAACTTCAGCGTATAACTAGATTGAGCTTTTCATATTGTATGAGTTTTCTGATACGGGAGACCTGGGTAAACTGAACTAGGCTATTATTATAAGGATCTTAATATGGCATTAAAGACACCATCTGAAATAATTCTTTATTTATCAAAAAAAATGGAGTCAAGTAGGTTGACTCTGCCCTCCCCACGCAACGCTGACATCAGTTCATAAAGGACTATGTTCGGCCCAAATTAGAACTGAAGAAGATAACATTTGTAATTGAAACGCTTACAGTAAAGAAGATTCTGTCGATATATGTGGTTTTATTGACCAGACAGCATGGAGGATTATTAATCTTATTGTAGAGTCTCTGAGACAACCAATGAATTCGAATAGAATAGAATGAACCAGGCCTATTTGTTTGAGGCCAAAATTGTGTAGTTTTAGTGAAGAGTTTTGGCTAATTTTCCATACAAAAGTGACAAACCAATACATGGCGTACATTATTTTCTCTGGAAAGGATATTCAAGAAGCCACTCATACTGGGTGTACTCATGTGCAGCATGACAAGCACTATCTGTTAATAAACCAGAATAAATTGAATTAGTCAAAGAAAGGAAACTAAATATTTATTAACGGTAAGACATCTGAACAATGCTGCTTAATTCGTGATTTTAGATGGTGAACAACAGTTGATATTGGAAGTAGTAATGTTTTGGATGTAAGACGGAAAATTCGCTTTTCCCGTGGTGTTTGTTTTGTACGGGTACAAATATTTTAAGTTGATGAATAATGTAACGATATGCAGTGTCAAAGGTTGGCCAAATTAGTAATTCAAATATGGATTTTTACAATCTTCGTATTCGTGGTGCCGCATTGATTAACTTTTCATATTGGATAATGCTGAAATAGGGTAATTTCCTTAATTTAAAAAAAATCGATGCATCTTTCGACTACTAATATTAAACCCAATTGTCAGGAGTCAATTAATAAGGTAGATCAAGGATAAAAAAAGAATAGTGCTTGATACAAGATGTATCATCGCTGGAACCGAATATTCCCCTGTAAGTTCTGAAAGTGTGAGATTGTTTCACCGATCGGTAAGAAGTTTCAATGGCTACCTTCAAGAATGATTGCCTCGACTGTTCCAATGAATTAATGCCTAACTAAGACTGGGTTACTTAACTTGACTGCTGATAACATGCATGATATCTAACGAGAAATAAATTCATCATGAAAAATATTTGCTAATACATTACGGACGTCCAAGGTTAACTGACTAAATAATACTCGGTTATCACTGAATAAAAATAACCTTATCACCCTGTTGGTGACGGCATTCTAAAATGTTTTTCAGTATTCCTCGTCTAAATGGCATTTTTAAGGGCGGTTAACACATATGTTTTTCAGCAGCACAGATCCGGACTTAGGAAGCTGTCTAGAGGGGGAATGCATCCCTGGGGCTATCGGTGAATGAAAAGTAGCTCGGCCGCATCAGTGCTTCTAAGAGATAATTTCTTTGTGATAACTGGAGAGCGGGGGGAGGAGTGCCGTGTCGCTGGTCGGTCTTGATTCGTCCAGTGGGGGGCATGACCCAGTTGACCCCTGGACCGTCCTTGTTTATCGCCTGTAGCCCTAGCTGCCCTCACGATTTGTGTGAATCAAACATTTTTGCAACTTGTATCTTTCTTGAGGCCTTATAATATATATTTATATGCGTTGAAAAATGCTTGGGATATGGTAAAGTGACAATGTTGATGAACTTGTTCAATTGTATTGAGTTAATCAAATTTAACTCAGTTAAGCGTAAGACTAGTTTTGTTTGTTTTATTTTGTATAATATGACGTAAAGGTCAAGAGCGATGTAAACTACTATAATATGATATAAGACTGTTCTCATTAATTGGTACTTTCTCGAAGAATTTTATTCTTCCGCTAATACATCATCCCCTGTCCTTATTGCTCAAAGGCAAACCTAGGTTTACGACGACTAAAAAATACTACTCTTCGTTGACAAAAAAAATAAAAATATTAATTCTCTGTCTGAGTCAGTATTACTTCTTAATGTACATTTTATGGTAAGAATTATAAGCATGTATCGTCAAATAATGGGTGAGTATTAGGTGAGCAGTTTTTCGGAGGCTCGGTTATTATATAACAGATCTAAAAACTTGGGAAATACGCCACTCTCTACAGGGTGATTCGTAACTGCGTGGCAACGTAGATGCGTTATTCAAATGCAATTCTATGTATATGTTATTTTAGTATATTCTGTAAGACTTTTGCCGATAGAGTAGCAAACTTTTTGTCAAATTGAGCTTCACATCTCATAATATACAAGGTGTTTGTGAGCACAAAATGTGAATTATCCCAAAAAATTCAAATGGAGCACGCAGTATATTTTTTATGTCCTGTGGATGTCTTTTTTAAATTTTATTTTGGTATCGAGCTTTTGAGGATTGAGTAACCAAATTTTTGAGTTAGCTGCTGTCTCCCATAAGTTACAATTCAACATAAATAATTACCTCATGATTCGTGGACAGGGATTTTCAGTGGCGGTTTTTGTGGTCATTATATGACCTCCCACATTCACTTCATAAACTAATTTGAATTTTCCCGAGTCACTATTTTTCTTTAAACCTATGATTGCACAGATATGAATCCTTCATATTTGAGCGTTAGGACATGAAGGCAAAGCCTAAATTCCGGAGTAAGCAAAAAAAGCATAATAGCCACCCAACTTAACAAAATCCAAATTGCATAAGTGACTGACCGTTCGTCAATATGAAGGCAAAATGTATCAAAATCGGTGCTGCAGTTAAGATTGCATATGGTGATGACATAATAAATTTGTAAAATTTTTTTAAAGTCAATTACTTCTATATCTTACTTACCGCTGACCTAAACATGTTTCTTCTAACTAAATGCACTTCAACCAATTGACAATGCTCACTGCACCGTGATATCCTATTCTATTCAGATTCCCAATTGAAATACTAATTTAAGCAGGCCGTGTCCGCATTAGTACCGTCGCTGACGTGTTACAGTTTTTTCGCCCAGTAGATTCGATGAGGGGTCCACTCAAAAAAATGTTTATTATTCGAATAATTTACCAATGTACGAATTTCGACACCATCTGATCCGGATCATCTGTGTGATATAGTAAACGAAACAGATGATAAGACGATGATTAAACTTGTTTTTACTGCTGGTGGTATTACTTTTAAATTATATGTACCGGTTTGGATAGTACACGTGAGAGCATACAGTCTTTGAAAAAGTATTCGTACTCTTATACTGTATACAATGCTGTTGAAAAAGGTTCTCCTTCCTTATTTTTGAACGGATCAAGTTAGCAAGTTGAAATTCGGGGTGACGATACTTGAGTTCTATATAAGGGTGTTAATTTATTTATTTAAGATACGTCCGCAAATTCTTCGTTCTCAAGATACAGGATGTTAAGATTTAAACAAAGTGATTTTTCGTAAATATCTTAAATATCCTTTAAGTAATTTTGTTGTAATTTGGCGGTGGTGTTTGTATCATTAAAACCTAATTTAACCTTAATTTGATTAAATTTGTTAAGTCCAGTGGCGTCATGACAAATTGTACGCCACTGACTATCATTTTTTACCACGTTATTTCCAAGTAGAAATACAACATTTTTGACTATAGAGTTTTTTTCGTATCTTTCATATGGCTCGTTTACACAGTGCAAGCTGCTGACTAGACAGTAGACAGCTACTCGGATGGTCTACTCGTATGCCATTAGCTCGACTCGCCTTAGTTGCTTCCACGATGATAGTAGCTGCCCAGGATATTCCGAGTTGTCGCGATGTCGAGTCAACTTGCTGTGATTAAAAAACAATGATAAGGTCTATGACAATAATATTATGTGAAGAATTGGAAAAATCCTACAAAAAACTTCAAAAAAAGGAGAGGAAGAAAAAGGTTTGGATTAGAGATTGGATGGCAAGACGATCTATAGGGGCAACATGTGCGATTTTCAAGGAGCTTTATCATGCAGACCCCCGAGAATATAAAGCAGTGCTGAGAGTGACACCCGAACAAGTTGACAAACTGTCAAATTTAATAAAAATAGAGCGTCAAGACACTTTTATGTGAGATGCCATACCAGCAAGGGTAAAGTTAGAAGTAACCCGATGTTTTCTAAGCTCAGGAATATCATACAGGCTGTTAGCAATATTTTTCAGGATTTCAAAATCCTCCATATCAAAATTTATACCAGAAGTTCGTGACATTATGTATGAAGCGTTGGACGAATATTTGCAGGTAAGTAGAAATGTGGTAAATGCTTCATGAGTTGATACTTCAAAGGTTCAGTTATCTTATTCAATGACACATGTGTGGATCATACATACATTCATTCATTTATTAAAGACAAACCAAGTCATACAAAATTAACACAAAAGTAACACAGAGGATAAAAGTTATTGCATATTGTTCATATTAGCATCTATCATTGCTCTGACTAGTGGATCACTAAAGTGGATAGCCTCGTATGATGCACTTGATGGTTGTCCAACAACTGTTTGAACTGGCTGCCGAGAAACTGTTTCTGCGGGCCGATCAGATATTGGGACAGGTTCTGGGAATGAATCACTTAGTACACTGGATCCTGGTGATGTCAGCGATATGTAGGACGGTGGCGACGATGTATTATATGAGGAAAACGCAGATGTGTTTCGGGCATATATAGCTTTTTTTCGGTATCGGGAAAGTACTTGTTGGATTTCATCTTTGGCGTCTATAAAATCGAGTAATGGGAGCTGTCTCAGTTGAATAGCGACATGTTTTCCAATAACATCGTACTCATCACATTGCTGAGAACAACTAGAAGTTTGTATAGTACTATTCAGTTGTTTAAGCTCATTAATAACTGCTGCAATTCCACTCGTTTCTTGGGTAATGTTATGCTTTAATTTATTTTTAACTTGAACTGGATTTTTATTTTTGATCAACGAGGTGTCGCTGGATTCGATTGATTTATTAACAGTTTTATCATCAATGTCCCGACTAACATCATCTTCCAAAATTGGACCCCGACGGTGTATCGTTAGGCTGAAATGAAAATACTAAATTAATATTTTTTCAGGTACCAGGCAAAAGGGAATGGGAAGACATACAAGTAGGATTTCAGCACAGGTGAAATTTTCCAGGATGTTGTGGAGCCATCAACGGCAAACATGTGGTAATTCAAGCTCCTCGCAATTGTGGTAGTGAATGCTATAATTATAAAGGAACAAACAGCTTGGTGCTCTTAGCAGTCGTCGATCATGACTACTGTTTTAAATATGTGGACGTAGGCTCTTATGGGCGAAATTCCGACGGTGGTGTTTTCCAAGCTTCCTCATTGTATCCAGTGTTGGAAAATGGGTCATTACTGCCAGAAGGTGGATTCCTAGTGGGAGATGATGCTTTCCCTTTTAAGACATACTTATTGAAGCGATATCCCAATGAGCCCACGATTGCCGAAAAAAATTACAATTACAGATTCACTAGGGCAAGTCGCATTTGGTATTTTAGTATCTCGATTCCGTGTTTTGGCAAAACCTATCCAGTTGCAAGAGGAAACCGCAATAAAACTGATTCGAACTACATGTGTACTGCACAACTGGTTGCGCAAATCTTCACTTCACACCTACACACCACCTGGTAGCATAGATTATGAAGATATTCTAAATTTCACTACGAACCTAGGAACGTGGAGATCAGAAATAAATGCGTTACCAAGTATCGCCTGTTCGCGGATCAATAACAGATCAAAGATCGCAGCTGAAAAATTGAGAGAAAAATACATTTTTTTTTGTAATGAGGGTGCTGTCACCTGGAAAAATTATATGATTAATAATAATTAAATGTAATGAACTATCTCAGTGGAATAAAATATGAGGTACTCACCAGATTGCTTGTTGTTTCCTTTTCTTTCAAATTAATTGTTTTCATTATATAATCCATTATATCGAACCATTTTAAGGAAGACTTGTAAACATCTTCCGACCCAGATCCACTCTTTTTACTTTTTTCGATTTTCGCGCGTTCTTGGTTATAGGTAGATCGTAATTTTTTTATTTTCTTAGTTACCTCACTGGTGTTAACTAGACTCATTTCGTTTGCAATGTATTCCAAAGATGCTTTTCTCATATCTCTATTTTTATAATTTTTATCAAAAACAATTCCATAGGTTTTCTTGTTCTCTGTAGAGATTCATGAATGTAATATTATTCTCAGAAGACCACCTTTCTGAGCCCATTTTGAATTGGGTAAACGCTTTTGGCGCAGCACACATAAAATGCAGCTTCCGCTTCGTAATTGCAGGCTGACACTGGCGAGCTACTGCCGAACATGTCCGAACGATGCGAATGACGTCCGAGCTGTTGCTATATGCGCGTTGCTGTCGGGCCAGTAGGCGAGTGAAAACAAAAATTGCTGAAGTAACTCGGATGCGAGCTACTGTCCAACTCGCACGTACGAGTTACTCGTAGGTACGTCCGTATTTATGCGAATTATTGCACTGCAGCTACTCGGCAGGCTGACTCGTACGCTAGCTCGCACTGTGTAAACGAGCCATCAGTTTTCGAGAAAAATAAATTCCACTTAATTGCATATCCCTGGCCCACACAAGGAATATGGTGAAAAGTTTCTTTTGAAAATTATTATTTTTGTATGATTTTTTATGACTAATTATGTAAAAACAACAAATACTTAATAACATTAACATAATTAGTAATAAAAAAATAATAAAAAATAATTTCTAAAATAAACTTTTCCTCATATTCCATATATGGTCCATGGAAGTGCAATTAAGTGGACCCTTTTTCCTCGGAATCCACGCAAGATACGAAAAAAATCAAGAAACAAAAAAGTTTCATTTCTATTTGCTTAATCCAAAGATCATAATAAAAGTTTCACAAAACTCAGACGTTGGTTGTCAGAAATATTCGCTCAGATCCCGCTAGAGACGCTACTGGACTTAATGAATTTAATCAAGTTAGGGCTAAATTAACTCAATGATGCTATAAATACTACCGTCAAATTACAACAATATTATGATATTTAAGATATTGATGCAAACACTTTTTTTTAACTTTAACGAGAACGAAGAATTTACGGACCTATGTTTATACGAATTTTTTGTTTCAAAAGAATCGTCTGTTGAATTTATGGTACATACTCAATTAACACCCTGTAATTTAAAGCAAGAGTGAGAGTTGAAAGTTTCAGGTTAGTGGCTAAGCGCCGCCTAGGAACATTTTTTTAAATGATGGAATGGGGCCTTGTTTTGGAGTTGAGCGTTTTGGTACATTGAATCAGGTATAACTCAGCAATCGTCAAAAAGCTATAGAATGTTATATTAATATCATCCTTACGGAAAAGTATTAAAATATGTAATAAAATATGGGACATGTAACATCTGAAGCTTATCCTGTGGTTTTCATGTCGATAATCCCCAATGTTTCCCTGGCCAATTAAACCACATGTATTTAAAATTATTCTTCAATATATTTACATCATATTCATAGAGTGGGAGTAGTAGATGCCGTCGAATGGATTAAAGGATATAGTCTGGTGAAATTGGCTTCGCAAATTTAGTTGGCAAACATCTTGAAACGGGATGCAATCAGATGTACTGAAGGATGTAGTCGGGTGAATTCAGCAGTAGTAGTACTCGTTATAGTGGGAAGGCGAACCCTGGCAACTAGGCCACCTTTGAAGCATCTACTGGTAAATGATTATTATTATATGACTTTTTTCAAGAAGCAGGCGTTAATGTTTTGCCGGATTCAAATCCCAACGAACATGTGTGGGGTATCATGGGGAGGAGACTATCCACTTTGCACCATCTGCCACAGCTACTCCACGAAGATCGAGTTGCTTGGAATGAGGTGCCACAACCAGACATCGATCCTCTCATTTTGTCGATGCGTAGACGTATATATTACGTGTCAATAAAATTTATTGAGAATGTTATTGTTTCATTCTCGATGTAAAACTACCTCAGTGCAAAAAATCAAGATGAAGAGATTAATTTTTCAGGATGTAACACTTCTAATCCCAACTAACAATTATCACTCCTATTAGAGTTGTAAGAATGATTATACAGTATTCCTTACACAGCATTGTATGCTGTAAGAACATTGGCAAAACGCTCTTAGAACAGCTATACGAGGGTGGTCCCAGAAGTACCCGACCCAACGAAGAAAACACAAAAATTTTGTGAAAAAATATATTTATTTTTCAACATAATCTCCTTTGAGCTCTATGATACCCTTTTTATAATAAGAACTGTCTTGCTCCTCAAAATAGCCATTGACAGCCGACTTCACTTCTTCATCGTTGGAAAATCTCTGACCACTGAGCCATTTTTTCAAGTTTGGAAACAGAAAATAATCCGAGGGGGCTAAATCTGGTGAATAGGGTGCATGAGGTAGCAATTCAAACTTTAATTCGTTAATTTTGGCCATTGCAACAACGGATTTGTGAGCTGGTGCATTGTCTTGATGAAAAAACACTTTCTTCTTAACCAAATGCGGCCGTTTTTGCTTGATTTCATCGCTCAAACGTTGCAATAAGTTCGCATAATACTCGCCGTTGACAGATTTACCTTTTTCAAGATAGTCAATGAAATTTATCCTACGCGCATCCCAAAAAACCGACGCCATAACCTTGCCTGGAGATGAAACGGTCATCGCCTTCTTTGGGAGCCGGTTGTCCCTTTTGAGTTCATTGTTTTGATTGTTCTTTCGTCTCGGGTGTGAAGTGATGGACCCATGTTTCATCCATGGTTATGAATCGACGCAAACATTCCGCTTTGTTGCTGTGAAACTTCACTAAACACTCAATTGAAACATCTTCACGACACTGTTTTTGCTCGATTGTGAACAATCGCGGCAACCATCTTGCACACAGCTTTCTCATGTCCAAATTTTCAGATAATATGCGATAAACCGCACCTTTTGAAATGCCTACTATGTTTGCTAGCTCGCGCACTTCCATTCCACGATCATTCAGTACCGCTTTGTGAATTTTCTTCACCATTTCTGGAGTCGTCACCTCATTTGGTCCACCACTGCGATGCTCGTCTTGGCAGCTCATACGGCCTCGTTTAAACTCTGCTACCCAATATTTTACTGTTGTAAACGAAGGAGCAGACTCACCCAAAGTAGAATCCAGTTCAGCTTTTATATTGGTTGGGCTGCGGCCTTTGAAATAAAAGTATTGTACCACATAACTATGACCAATTTGCTCCATTTTCAAAAACTCACTTAAAACGTTCACTATTGATGGCTGCCAAACAAATACTTGGCGTCTTCAAACTTGACACATATGCTTTATAGGTTGAATACTTTCTAATACAATGATATTTTTCAAACAACTATCGCCATCTCTAGGTCAGGCCGGATACTTCTGGGACCACCCTCGTACAAGCGGATTGGGCACACCTAATAGGACACTTAAATCATTTAAGAGATTGTATAAGGGCTGCAGATAACAGTTATACAACAAAAGTGCAAACCTCTTACAGCCGCTATAGAACATTTGCGTCAGTGCAAGATTCAGTTTTTGACAACTATACAACTATTATGTTACATGATTCTACTTTATCGCAACCCATCAACTATTTCTTATATATTGTATAGGCGAAGTGAAGAATATATGATGAACTTCTACACCAGAGTTCCCCAAACTTTTTTGTGTCGTATACCCCTTGCCATGTTTTTCCGTGTTGGGTAGACCCCCTACTTACCTGATATTGATTTCCTGTAAATTTCTAACCGTAGTGAAGTTTAGTGTTAAAAACTTAAAGTAAAAAACATGTTAATTTATACATTTATTAATTGAATTTAAATTAAAACTACTCAAAATAAAATTTTGTATCTGTTATGTAAAATATACGTAACATTAAATAAACAGGTGTCTGACCAATAAGTGCCCGCATTGGGAATAAGTGCTCGCATTGAAAAAAAATAAGAGGGATAAAATAAAAAAGTGAAAAATAAAAAAAAGTTTTTTACTTAAAATAGTACAATAAGCGAGTTCGTTTATTAATTATAACATAAACGTATGTTCTACAATAATTTCACTATTAGTTTGATTAAATTCTGCTTCTTATACGTTTAAGTTATCTAAAAATAGGCAAAAAATAATTTAAAAAAAATATTTTCTTTAAAGGGGGGTTCTTTAAAAACATGCGGGCACTTATTCCCAATGCGGGCATTTATTGGTCAGACACCAATAAACATAAAATAAACTATAAATAAAATAACATAAGCAATAAGTCAATATTTTTAGTGAGAAGGATGAACCTGATGCTTTAATAACAAATTATCAACATTTGGCGTCAATTTTGTAAGGGTTAATCTTAAATCTCCTCGGCTAATGATGTCCAGTCTGTTTCTTTTTTTCGTTAGGAGATTGGTAACAGCGCTGAACCCCCTTTCCACTAGGAATTATATTCCATAATGCGGGATAAGTAACGGGTATGTTGTTTTGCAGCCAGAATTGCTGATATCCGTTTTTAAACTGAACCTTAAGTTCTTCGTTTGTACTTAGTTCAGTCAGTTCCACCTGTATTATGACATTCGTTTCTTCTATGTCACCATATGGATTAATTATTCACGGTGGTATTACCATAGTCAAAATATCCTCAAACCTAGATTCAAAATCTGAATAGAGGGAATTTAAATTGAAACGTCGTCTTCCTGGCAGCTTGTCTGTCACAAATTGGGGAACTGAGAAAATTCGCCCCGTCCAATATTTTGCTTCATTAGTTTAACTCTGGCAAGAAACGCTGATAAGATGGACTTTGTTTTAATCAAATTCAAACTGTCGCCTTGTAATTGCAAATTAACCATATTAAATTTTGTAAACAAATCTGTTAAATAGGCGATGTCTGTTTTCCTCTTCATTAAATTTTCTTTTAAAATTTCATCTTTAGTATCCAGAAATTCTAAAATAGTCTCAAAAAGTGCAAAAAATAATTTAAAAAAAATATTTTCTTTAAAGGGGGGTTCTTTAAAAACATGCGGGCACTTATTCCCAATGCGGGCATTTATTGGTCAGACACCAATAAACATAAAATAAACTATAAATAAAATAACATAAGCAATAAGTCAATATTTTTAGTGAGAAGGATGAACCTGATGCTTTAATAACAAATTATCAACATTTGGCGTCAATTTTGTAAGGGTTAATCTTAAATCTCCTCGGCTAATGATGTCCAGTCTGTTTCTTTTTTTCGTTAGGAGATTGGTAACAGCGCTGAACCCCCTTTCCACTAGGAATTATATTCCATAATGCGGGATAAGTAACGGG